CAATTGGGTAACAACACCCAAGTACCTCTGTAAGGTAATGTCCCACAAATTCATTAGGGTAATTCGGGACATGGGCTCTTCCCCAAGTCTCCACAGATTTAAAATTAAGAGAAACCCTGATTGCGTCTATGGAGAAAGGGATGTGAATGCACGCCACTACGTCTTGGATTGTCCAAGGGTAGTGGGTGTGCAGGAAGAGAGAAGGAGGGCGAGGGGCGCGATCGAGAGTAAGCTGCTGAGAAATCACAGCAAGCTTCTTGAGAAAGCCCACGACGTGGCAGCTGAGCTTTTCCTCAGCTGTGAGTGAACAGAGTCGACCTGGGTGCTGCCTCCCCGCGGTCCCTGCTGGACACAGTAGATAGTTTCCTCTTTTGCTGTGTTTAAAGGCCACCGGTATAGAAATCCTTCCAGACACGTTGTCTTAGAGGTGGTGTTTCCAGGTACAATGTCCAAGCTCTAGCTTGGATACCGTTACTTGGCTTATGAGTTGAACAGAATAGCAGCGAAGGGCATGCTTCGGATGCCGGCTTGTGGACCGAAAGGTCTGGGTGGCCATCTGCTTCTAGGGTGTACCAACTGTGATTAGGTGGGATCCTCCAGTTCTTGTTTATTTTTGTTTTGGCTACTGTTTCTATTTCTTTAAAAGTAAGTTTATTTTTCTGTAGCAAGGGTTCTTTTGTGCCTTTTTTCGCTAGCGCATCAGCAGCTTCATTGCCTTCAATGCTAACATGTAAGGGTATCCATTGAAGGTGAATTTTTGAGGTATTGAGAGTTTTTGGAGATAACCAATTATGCTCCTGCTTACTTTGTCTCTAAGTTCCCTTGTGTGACTCAAGTGTTGTATGGCACTTCTACTATCAGTAAGAATCCATATATCATGATGTTTAGTGTTTCTGATGGATTTTAAGGCTTCATAGATGGCTATAAGTTCGGATCTGAAGACTGAGTAAAATCTGGGTTTCTTCTGTTTATTTTCTCATTGCCATTTGTGGTTTTAACGAGAGAGTCACTGTCAGTGTGTCCCAACTCGTCTCTGCTACCATCGGTATAGATAGTAATTACATTTTTAGGAATTTTATTAATTATTTCTAATGATAATTGTTTTAAGTATTCTGGATTTTGGTATTGTTTGTTGGTGGGTTCATTTAAAGTGGCAATACAAATAACATTTTGTTAGTGATTCGCATGGAGATATTATTTCTGCTAAATAATATTTTTCCACTTTATATTTTTTGAGTCTTATATTGGATTCCCAATTAAGTATGTAATTGGAAGTTCTGTGTTTGTTTTCATAACTCTTGATTTTGTTTATATATTTTGGCAGATTGTAGCTTCTTCTATCCTTTAAGGGCATAATGTCTGCCTCGTAAAGTACAATATTATTAGGGCAGGTATTTCGAAGACCTGTAATAATTCTAGCTGCATTTAGTTGTATCCTTTCCAGTGATTTTAGATTTGTTTCAGATGCTGTACCATAGATTTGATATCCATATTCCAAGATAGGTCTCATTAGAGGTGTGTAAGTTAATATTAGTGTTGTTGCTTCAGCTCCCCACTCTTCCTGAAATACATTTCAAGATTTTTAGTCGGTCTTTTCCTTTTCTAACAACTCCTTCAATATGTTTACTGGAGTTAATGTCTGGATCCAGGGTGTAGCCGAGATATTTAGGATGTTTATTATATTGCAATTATTGTTCTTTCAAAATAATATTTGGTCTTATTTTGTATATTTTCTTATCGGTAGTAAAATGACGGGTTTCAGATTTTTGGAGGTTAAATTCTAATTTATGTTTATTAGCAAATTTTTCTAGGTGGAGAAGAGTCTCGTTCAAGTCTCTTTCAGCTTTTTTCCAGTTAGTGTTGCTGCTCCATAGAATAATGTCATCAGCGAAAAGTCCAAAATTGGTTTTATGTGAAAAATTTTCTTCTATGCCTGCAATAAATAGGGTGAAGAGATTTGGGCTAAGGACTGATCCTTGTGGTAATCCTTGATACAATTTGAAGGTTTTAGATAGAGTGCCATTATATTTGACCCTGATGTATCTATTTTTAAGGGAATCATTTATCCAAGTGATAGCTTTTCCATCAATTTTAAATGTTTGTATAATTTTGTATTTAACCTGTTTTTCCATACCTTATCAAAAGCTTGTGTAAGGTCTAAAAAAGCTGCTATTGTGTGGTTAGTTGGTTTTCTGATTTGTGCATCTTTTACCTTTTGTTTGAAAAATAAGAGTTGGTCTATTGTCCCATGTCCTTTCCTAAATCCTTATTGTTCTTCTGGTAAGAGATTTCTTGTGTCGGGGTGGTAGGTGAGTCGCCTGAGTATAATTTCTTCCATTAATTTTCAGCAAATACTTGTCAAGTTGTCAAGTTTTTTAATGGGAATTATTGTTGCATTTTTACAGTCTTGAGGCAATTTTCCAGTTTTCCAGGAGTTATTGAAAATATTAAGAAGTCTTTCTTTGCCAATTTTGCCCAAGTTTTATATCATTCGGCCATGGATTCCATCTGGCCCAGGAGTCTTGTTTAGGTCAGTGTTTTCTAATGCATAAGCTAGCTCTTTCATATTGATTTTTTTCATGGAAAATATTATGAGTGCTGGTGACATTTTTACAGTCATGAATAATCCTTCGGGCCTTTGTTTCAACCTTGATTTTACTACTTATTTGATATGAATTACCTAAAAGATTGACAGCAATTTTGTCATTAGTTGCTGGTGTACCATCTGTATTCTTAATCATATTAGTTTTTTCGGTTTGTGAATGGGATCTGTCAATTTGTTTTGCCAAATTCCCAAGTTTTGTATTTGGGGTTCTTGGGTTCAGGTTTTCACAAGTTTGTTTCCATTTTTCCCTTTTCACATTTACGTATAATCTTTTTATTTTTGCATTCACAATATCCAGTTTAGTTCTACAATTTGTTTGGTTTTGGGTGCTATTTTTTGTAGTTCATTTCTTTTAGTTATAAGTGTTTGAAATTTTTTGCCTAGGTGTGTATAATTTGGAATCCATTTCTTAATATTACCTCTTGGTATTGAAACTGTGGCTGCTTTAATAATGGTGTTTTCGAAAGATATCCAATTAGACTTTTTGAACTTCCAGAATTTTTCTTAATTGAGCTGGTTTTGGTCTTGGTGCTAATTTCTATCAAATTAGGCAAATGATCACTTCCAATACCTTTTAATATTTGCTATTTTCATTTGTGGAAAATGTCAGGATAGTAAAAACTTATATCAAGGGCTTGTGAAGTATTATAGCTGTAGGAATGATGGGTAGGATTCCCATCATTTAAGCACATGATGGCATTGTCGTCAAATATGTTTGAAAGTATTTTGCCTCTTGGGTTTGGCGTGGAATATCCCCAAAGTTGATGTTTGGCATTAAGGTCACCTACAATAAGAGTTGTCTGTAAAAAATTGATCCATTGTTCCATCGTCAATAAGTGTATTGTTTGGAGGGTGATACATATTGTATATGTTGATGGCTTTGTTTTGATTGAGGTAGACTTTGATATCTTGGGCTTCGAGGTCTAATGTGTTTGAAATATTAACGGCTATGTCCTCATAGTACAAATTATTGATTAAAAATGCTAGGCCACCCCCTTTAACAGCATATACAGATGGATCTTCAGACCTTACCCTGAGTTATGGAGGGGCCGGAATTAACATAATACTGCAAGATGGAACGCACATCAAAATCAAAGAAGGAGCAGGACAGATTTCGTCAAATTCACTTGTGAACTGACAGCTATCTGGAAAGCCCTTGATGTATGCCTTAACCAACCATCCCTGCATCAAGCAGAAGGATATTCAATATATAGCGACTCCATATCCGCTCTAGAAGCAATTCAGAAGGGCAATACTAAAATCACACAGAAAATACACTCGTTACTTACCCAACTGGAACCATTGGAGAATAACTGCATTCTACAATGGATCCCTGCCCATGCTGGGATCGGGGGTAATGAAATGGCATTTGAATTGGCAAAGGAAGCCAGAAAGTTGAGCCAAAGGAAAGAACAAATGTCATTATTAGACGCTGATTCTTTGTCAAAATACAAGATAAGTAAACAATAAATAAGAAAAGATCAAAATGCGAAATAAACTCTGAGAGAAAAATGACAAAAACTATAACAAGACTTAGAACAAAACACTATAAAGGAATGACAATACATCCAGATGGCACAATAACCTATAGGGCATGCAACAATTTTCCTGGTGTGGAACTTACACCTACCCACATATTCTCATAGCCAGCAATGGCTGCAGCCTTGCAGAAATTTGACACAGACCCAGAGCAGCAGCTTACACACCCAAGATAGTGGACATTGCTGCTGCTTTGATGGAGATGCATGGATACATCTGAGGCTCTTCATTGGACACGACAACAATAACGGCAGTCCAGAGTAAAATAAATTATCAGAGATATATACATATTTTTCAAATTAATTAAAATAAATATAATCGATACTGAGAGAGAGAGTTGAATTAAAAATATTATAAATTTATTAACTTCGGAAACACAAACCGTATCTGAAATATCAATTTTTTTGCTACATGTTTTAATTTGCATTTACCTATTTTACATATCTCTGATTGTATTTAAAAATTGTTAACCAATTCTTCATACTTTTGGCGAAGTGGTGTTTTATTAATTTGTTATTTGATGTTATTAGGGTTCTTTCCTGGTATTCAAAAAGGAAAAATACGTGTCGATCAGTTATATTTTTCAATTTATCAAACAATTTGGCCGCTGAATCTCTGATTCTAGTAGTGCGCCATCTGGCGAATAAAATTGTAACTAAAATCAATTAGAATATTTCATTATTTGCCATAAAAAATCCCATTGCATCCTGAACACAATGGTGTTTACCGCATTGCTCTAGCGCAAATATTCGCGGAGTTATTAATTTTTAAAGTTGTGCGGGACTTTTGGATCACCCTGTATATATATATATATATATATATATATATATATTACTTTACTAATTCTTCTCGGGGGGTCGGTTAAGGCTGGTTAAACCGTTTGGTTTTCGACCACTAGGACCCGGGTTCGATTCCCGCATTGGACACCGATTCTTGCTAAAGTCCAACCTCACCAGCGAGTGCAAGTAACCAAACGGGGATCTGGCATTTGTAAGTGCAAAGTCGAACTGCTTTTCACATGTGTAGACATGTGGTGCGCTTACAGTAAAAGCAGTCGCTAACTACCCACCATGATTTTCATGGCCTGTAGTACCACGTGTACTAGGAATAAGCAAAAAAAAAAAAAACAACAACAACAACAACTAATTCTTCTCTAAATTGGCCCGTAGAATAGTTATAATACTCGAGAGAAACCATTTATATTTTTTATGAATTAATAAAGAAACCTTTTTTAAGAGGAGTGAAATATTTCATATATAGAATATATTTATGTAGAGTACAATGTGAGGATATATGCTAGAATGTGTAATGTAAATACAAATATATGGGAATATTTCTATACTTTCATAAGAAATAGAAACGTTCATGTTGAGCTTATTAAGCTGAAGTACAGGTCGAACAGCTTTTCACATGTGTAGACATGTGGTGCACTTACAGTAAAAGCAGTCGCCTACTTCTACCCACCATGATTATCATGGCCTGTACCACGTGTACTAGGGATAAGCAAACAAAGACGAAGAACTAGTGTCAATAAATATTCTCAGTTTTTCAATATTTGCGATAATATTTTTTAAACAAATATTTAGCATGCACATGATATTTTAAATTTAAATGCTCTAATTTTGTCTACCTATAAATTTAAGTAAATAATGAATAGTATTGTGGAATATTTAGAAGGCGGTATATATATTTCACAAAATTTCCTCGAAAGCGATATTTTTTTTAGCATTTATTGCTATACAATAGTAGAAATGCTAGTTATAGTTCAGGATAAGCCATGAACAACTTAATCGGTTCAGAGTTGAACTACATGTCGTTTACCTGAACCAAATGTCAGTCAGTATATTCTAATCTCATGCCTAGTGCCAATTTCAAGTGTATTCCAACATATTTTGTTGCAATATCTTCTTTATATTTCGAGAAATATTTTGTTGGCGAGTTATGTTATGTATGCGTTATGAATGTTTGGATGTTGTTTATATTGTATATATTGTAATGTTGTGTGTATTGTGTATATTATGGATCTCGTATGCATTTCAAAGAGAGTGTGCGTTACATGTGTTGTACAACATGTATTGTGCGCTGTAAGTATACTGCACGTTTTATGTGCTATATAGATGTGTGTTGAATGTATCATGTGTTATGTGTTGTACAACATGTATTGTGCGCTGTATGTATACTGCACGTTTTATGTGCTATATAGATGTCTTCTAGCGCGCCATCTGTTATCAAAATTCGAAACTATTTTAAAGGCGTGTAAGATTATTTTTTGAAATTAAACAATTTCTACTGACCTTACTGCAATGGAAAAATTAAGGGGAGGGCCTGACTCATCAGTGGTGAACCCTCCCAGCTATAAAAGGAAGTTCCGAAAATGCAATATAACAGCGGTATGGTAGATTAAACTGGCGAAACCGCTGGGAAGGTTCACCACTGATGAGCCAGGCCCTCCCCTTAATTTTTCCATTGCAGTAAGGGGGCAGTAGAAATTGTTTAATTTCAAAAAATAATCTTACGCCTTTAAAATAGTTTCGAATTTTGATATAGATGTGTGTTGAATGTATCATGTGTTGCATCCTATAGTGTCTATTGTATGCATTGTATTTCGTATGTGTTGAGTGCGTTGTGTATTGCATGTTTTTTGCGTATGTAGTTATTCAACATTTATGCTTAGCTCTAAATAGTATAGGTAATGACGCGCAATGAAAGTTTATTTGCCTTTTTAATAGAAAAAAGAGGACTAAAGATCTAACACGGAGGGCGATGTCTTTCAGTAGATAACCTCTTCGAAGCAGGACAGAATAAATGAGAGAATGCCTAGTCAATCGGCCTTGTTAGATCACGGTGGTGAAAAGATGCTCACAACGGAAGTGGGACAAGTATAAGATCCTATAAATCCATCAAGTCCTTCTTCCACTCTCTTTCTGCATTTCCCGCGTCCCGCAGCGACGATTGTCACCTGGGAAAAAGAATAAGAAAAATATTCGAACATCTTAGCCAATACGTTCTCGTGTTTTGAAGATATATCCATTCCATAGCTTCGATTCTTCCGACATTACATTCTTCAATCTCTCTGGTAAAACCATAAGTGACGTATATGAGAATAGAGGAAATACTGACACAATAGGAGCAAGTATGATTCATAAAATTTTAAATAGTATATTCAATATATATATATATATATAAATAAATATATATGAAATTATATATGTGGGGTTTTTCCTTATTAAATACTCTCCACTTCAGTATTTATATTGTTATTCTTAGAACATATGTAGATTCACATTTCTGAACGGAGCAAAATTATTCATAACTTCATATAGCAAACACTAATAGAATCGAAGCGCCAACCGAAAGCAAATATCAAAGCGTTCAAAACATTTCAGTGAAAAATTTGCCTTAGCTCGAGTTCCAGGTTAATAGCTGTGATGAGTAGAGGAGGCGATCAAAGTTTCAAATTAATTGGAGGAGCGGGGAGATGATCATCAAGGAATCCCCGACACTTTCCAGCGCCTTGAATATTTTAAATCGTGATTTGTTAATCTGGAGGCATAATGAGTGGCATTTTATCACAAGATGGTTCGTATAATGGAACATCTCCATCATAGTGGGGCTCATTAGGGCGCTTATCACATGCCTAATGAAGTTATTTTGCGAGCGTTGCCAAGTCGAGGACAAAGAGCCTTGGTAATATCCTAGGATATGGCCCTACGTCTCTAATGGCTTTCTTCTTCATAATCAGGCCCTAACGCTTGGGCCTCAATTAAATAAAAAAGGAGTTAAATGCTTGATCCACGTTGCAGGTTGAAATCTGAATTAGATCATTCCGCGCTTTTTATTTTCTAAAGGGTTGTCGATTTTGCTTCCCCTCACTTCATTCTTTATATGTTGCTGCCTAATCTCAATTTTCTGTAGGCCTCTTTTAACGTTGTCCCCTCGATATTACTTCTTGGTGATTATATGGAGTTTTGGGGAGTTAATACCTCGCTATAGGGAGCGTAGCCTATCTATTTTGCTCTTTATTGAAGAATACCCTTATTTTTGAATGTCCTATGCTCTAAAGAAACTTATAGTAGAAGGAGGTGAATTAATTTATCGTTTTCTTAAAAGTGAAAACTATCAAAAACGCTATGGTCGAACCTGTGTAGGTAGTTTTAAAATATAAACCATATAATATATCAAGTGACTGGGTAAAAAATAAATGTTTAAACTATTAGTCAAAATAATTCACTTAGACTTATTTCATCAGCAAATAATTTTCGCTTATATTAAAATATGGGTCCACCTTCGTTCCACAAGGAAGATATTGCTTTAAGACTGTTTTACGTTTATTAGTCCGAACTGGTCGAAAATGAGATACTATCCATTGAAGAAAAAATACCCATTCCAAGAGTCTAGCATCAGTACCACTATAAAAGGAAGATCGAAAAATGCAATATAACAGCAGTATGGTAGATTAAACTGGCGAAACCGCTGGGAGGGTTCACCACTGATGAGCCAGGCCCTCCCATTAATTTTTCCATTGCAGTAAGGGAAGTAGAAATTGTTTATTTTTGAAAAGAATCATACGCCTCTATAATAGTTTCGAATTTTGAAAAAAAGTATATTTTACATATTCTTCTGAGATGATGAAAACTTTTGCGCGATGTCTAATGGTTCCCCGCCTTGTTGTACGACGTTGCCAATATTTAGAGTCTTTGGGATTCGTAAAATTCCGATAACGATTAATTATGTGATGCTACTTGCACAATATTTCACCGTTGGAATCGTGACTTCACAGTATCGTACCGGCAGTTCTTGGATTTCTATACTCAAACGCTATTAGGATTCGAGAGCATAGAAGTTGACAGAGTTTGCATTTGTAGTACTTTTCTCGTGTTATTTTTTTTCTTTTGACTAAAACCGATTGAAATCTTCAAAATAGGGGGCTTGAAAATGACCAACACATTTTTTCAAAGCGATATTAATTTGCATAAAGAAATAAAATATGTTTAAGATATTTGTCTTATAAAGATTAAAGGATATCAAATTGAAACAATTTTAACGCGAAATTTTCCGTTTATAAATTGAATAAAAACAACTTTCTACTACCCTTATTGCCAAAGGTAAATTTTGGAAGGGCCTGGCTCATCAGCGGTGAACCCTCTCATCGGCTTATCTAATTAAACGAAGATTCACCGTTGATGATCCAGACCCTCCCAATAATTCTTTCGCATTAAGGGTAGTAGAAAAAGTTGTTTATTATTTTTATTTAAAAAATATTAACGCTCTAAAATGGTTTCAATTTTTAAATACAGATGGCGCGCTTATTCATTATATTCAAAAATTAAAGTGTCAATAAAGATAATTTTTCAAAATTGTGTAACTGTGCGTTTAATAAAAGCATGTTTGAAAAATATATATTTAAAATCCACGACGCGCGCGCAAGAGGAAAACATTTATTCTGAATATTTTAACGACGCTGTTCTTTAAACGATTAAGATTTAAGGTGTTAAAAAATTAATTTGGAATTCTAATTCTTTGAGAAAGGTTGCAGAATTAAAATATGGATTAGACGAAGATTTAATTAAGATATGTGGAAGGAAGAAAACGGCCGTCTCCCGCTTACACCGGCGGCTTCACCGCATTTGAACACATAGTTATATTCTTGATACTTCACATCCAATTTTGAATCAGCTTGAGAGACACGCCAGATACTTGTGGCTTGAATTTTGAACATGCGATCAAGACAGATATGTTTTGCCTCTTAAATGTGCGTATTTCAAGTAATGTAAGAGAATAGTGTAACCGCAAAAAAAAAAGGTCGGCACAAATTGGCGTCTATTTTGTCTTATTTCATGAAAGTAATTTTTATCTTCCCTCCTCTGAATGTTTGAATACACTATACACTACGGGTAAAAATTACAATAAATCTCACTAACATGGA